AAATGGAATAAAATGGAAAGAGGGAAAAGTGGATCTCTGAGGACCTAGAATATATACTGAGAATACTGATCACCTGAGTGACATTTGTAAGAGGTACAAATAAATTGGAGAGCATCATGAACAAAATAAAACCAAATCCAGAAAAGCCAGTAAACCATATTTCAATGACTTTATAATTTTCCCATGTGTAGACTGCTTCTTTCTCCTTCTTCCAGATTAGTAAAGACCTTCAAAGGGACCATTGGGATCCAGAGCTGCTAATACTCCTTTCAGAAAATGGGTTTCCTATGGGAAGGGAGTCCTAAGTCCTGCACTCACCATTATCCAACATTGCAGAGCCTAAAATGCCAGACAGAAGTAAGGGGTAGATTGTAGTGATGATTAGATTTTAGGATGTTTTCAGAAAAGCATAGCTCCACTTATCATACCCATTTTTCTCTCCCCATATTTAATTAGGAAGGTTTCCTCCATTTTTGCTTTTCCTGCAGGAGATGTCTGTGACAAGATTCTAGAAAAGGCTTTGTTGGGAAGGGCAGGGTTAATATTCAATGACAACCAGAAATAAGGTAAATTTTCATCTTTAGGAACACACTTGAAAAGTTGATTTCCCCTTCTAGGGTAACATACTACAAAATGGGAGAGAAAATACCCACTTGAGATGAAAGTAGCTAGGGACAAAAGAAGTCACATTTTCACAAATTATCTGTGGAGCCTTCGGATAGTGATCTGTTCCCCAAAGGCAATGACATATTTATTCATATTTATTTATTACATTATCGTGTACAATTCAGTTCTGAAATGAAAATACAGTTAAAGATTTGAGAAGGGAAAGGATAATTAAAACAAAGCACCATCCCAGAGTCCCTCTATTACTAACCTGGGTTATCTTCATATAATTTTAGTTGTGTTTGTCATCTTTATATTCATATGTTGCCAAAGTAATGCTTATAATTAGGAGAAGTAAAGCAATGAAGTATCACTCTATCACAGAAATTATTCAAAACTTGGAAATAGGAAAAATATATTAATATCTGTTCTTTCAATAGTGGGTTGCATTTGAATTTCTATTAACACAGCTACTTTACAACTCCAGGCATAGGGCTTAATTAGTAGAGTTTTACTGAATAGAAATGCAAATAATGTCTGCCCAATGAAAGGTTATGGTTTATTATATTTAAGATACTAAACCAATTTTGTGTCTAACCCTCTGATTTAACTCAATATTTATATATATGTAATACAAGTCTATTGCTAGCTTCTCAAGTGCTCTTTGAACTAGTTTCAACATCTTATTGGTTCTCTCATTAGGTAATGAGTTGAATGAAATTCTTAACTTATTCATTTTACTTTTGTTATGAGATTTTCTTTTCTTTTTTAAAAATTATATTATAATACCCTAATATTGTTGTATTAGCTCTCAAAATCATTCTATGTTCTAGTGAAATTGCCTAATGGGATTTAGTTCATTGGTAAGTAACCTCATATGCTTGTTTCACAACTTGAAACAGTACACTGGTCAGTTGTCTTTCCTGTTTTCTATAAGCACATCATCCACCATCCAAGACTTACATGGATAGTTCTTGGTTTTTCATAGGCCCGTCTATGCTTGGTATATTATGCCTTTGTAACAAGATATTTGTCAAAATCAACTTTCAATAGGCAACTAGAAAAAATATTTAGTAGGTCAAATTTATTTGTCTCCATCCTTATTACTCTTAGAGCAGATATGTAAATCAAAATGAGATATGTGACTTTACAGTGATAATGGATTGAGTTCAACAGAGACATAAGTATTCTGAGTACTTTTATGAAGAGTTAAATTAAATTTAAAAATAATGGCATCCAGAAGTTACATCACCATTAAAGATTGTGCTACAAAAAAAAAAAATTACAAAGAGAAAAACTGTAATCACAACAGTCACAGAAAATAGTTAAAAAATAAAATAAAATTATGTGCTGCTTCTTCCCACTACCTCTGTAATGTGACACTTTCCAAGTGGCAGTCAACAGATTTCTGAGCATTCACAGACATAATAATTTTTTTCTAAAGGAAATAGATTTTTCTAGCTTTGGTCAAATTTTTCTTCATTATGTCATTTTCATTAAGGGAAATCATAAAAAAGCAAAAGAAAATATTTCTAAAGATTATTATATATGATAAAAGTATTCTACAATTTGGTATTATTTCTCAACCACTTTGCCTGTAGCCTAATTGCTACTGATGGCCATTTTATTCTAGAAAAAGAGTAAAAATACAATCAGTACCATTAGGAGAAACTAAAAAATGAAATGACATTGATAAGGTTGCATAATGGAATTTCAGAATGCATCTCTTCCATTTGCTGACTGAGTAAAATATGAATGTTAACTAATATAGTCTAGAAAATCGTTAATACCTTTCTATACTAAATAAATATTGGTAAATAATGTAGGCTATGCTGCTACAAGGAGAAGAAAACAGTAATGGTAAAAATGTCTGTCTCTAGTAAGATTTCCTGTGATATGATATTTAAGTTAAATTAAAAAATAAAATCTCATTCATCTGAAATATCAAATTTTCCATAAAAATTTCTGACAAACACTAAAAATTAAGTTAATTATGCAATTCTTGTTCACACTCCAATAGTCATCTCTTGTTTAAATTTATTAGTAGTTTTGATAAAAAATAATATTAGTTTGTGACAGATCAACTATCATTGATTTAGATGCCTTTAAATATTAACTATTATATGCTATTTTTAAAAAAAACTAAGGTCAGATTTGATCCAAGGTCACCCTAATACATCTCTCATTGTCTACTGGTGACATTTGCTGAATATTACCTCAAGCTACATTTTTAGCATTTCCTCTGGCATACTGAGATTAGATATGACATTTCTTGGCCAGAATAAAACACAAGGTCAATTTTAAAGAATATAATACCGTATTTTTTTCATGCAACTTTGCATTTGCTTATCTGGAGTACACAGGCAGCTCATTTTAAAGCAAGGGACTTATGAACCACGACTAGCACATGCTAAATTCTTACAAGAGGCATCACCACCATTGTCCCAGCCTTTACCACCTCTCGAGCCCTAAGCAAAATCCCTGAGAAAATAACCATGGTGGAAGGCAGAACTATCCAGCTCCTACAGTAAGAGGTTAAGAGTGTCTCCTCCCACTGCCCGGGAAAGGTGGTAGTTTCATCTGCAGAAAGTTTCCTACTGAGATAATGTTATAAAGGATGAATGGCATATGTAAATCCACACATACTATTATTCAACTCTATTATGAGTTAAATAAGATTTTGTATAACCGCAAACAAGTATCAATTATTTATAAAAGTACTTGGGAAAACCAATCCATTGGCAAGTTTGTAACAGGAAAAAAGTGTTTGAAATATCATGAATTATGCTTAGTATTTTATGTTTCTTCCTAAAGCTTTAAATTTTAAGAAAGTAATAATAATAATAAAACCCTCATTTGGTGTGAGAGCCAGTTTGGCTCTCATGATTACCCTGTCACATCCACTTAACCTGATTAGAGTCAATTCATAAATGAAAATATACTTACTTGAGTTTTACTCTCTGAATGAAATGCAAAGCTTATCTAATGCAAGCACTTTCTCCAACCAAATAAATACTTGGATAAAATGAAGTAAAAATAAATCGTATAAACCACTAATAATCTCCCACACGAAAAAATCTGTCAACTTAAAAATTAAAACACAATTATAATTACTTCTTGGTATAGCTATTGGTACTGAACTACATGCCACAAAAAATATACTTAACATGCAGTTATAAATTTATATTACTTAGATTAGGTCTTATCTAGAAAGGCACACCTAGAGATAGGTTTAGGATCCTGATGACAAGATTCTATTATCAGTAATTCAGATTATCTGAAAACTTGAAAATAATGCCCTTATTCCTTCATTTAAATATTAACTGCAAATAACCAGTCTATTAGGAGAAACTCAACAAAAGGCCAATAAAGATACATTTCCTTCTATATGCTGCAATCTGTCTTTGTACATGTATAGGATGTGTCACTATATATGTTGAAGGAACCTGCATTACAATGCTACTTCAGCCTTCTCTATTAAATAAAGTAACTGTCAGTATCTGGGTTAAAGCTACAGAACACTTTATATCTATACGGAGTGCAATGAGCCATCCAAGCTAACTCAGCAGAGAGAACATTCACTAACAAAATGATTGTAGAGACCCATTGACTTGATGGATGGCTGGGATTGCATGGCATAGAGAAGCCCATGACGAAAATGGTATCTGCTTTGAAAGCTATTAACAGTTCCCTTTTATCCATTCTGGCATGGTTTATTAGTATGAGACAGGCTCCCTGTTTCTTCTCTTTTAATGATACTGTTCTATGAACCAATGAATGTTTTCATTTGGAAAATAAGAAAGCATTGACATGTTATCTGAACTGTGGTTTCTTTAGTGATGCCAAGGGAGTAAATATGCTAATTTTGGGCTTTGAAGAATGTCCTGGGTAAGGTCTATTATGTCCCTGATTTCAGCAAATACTATGCCCAGGTGAGAAAAGGTTACTGCTATAGCCACAGGAGATTTCTTTAGGAAACAGTTTTGACTTAGAAATGTAATGAAGAATTTCAGTGACACTTTGATGTACTTTTGAGTGGTAGTTTTCATATTACATTCTTCAAAGTGAAATTTAACTCGTCATTTGTTAATTATAATACTGAAGCAATTTACCTCAAACTATTGCTTGATTATTCATAAAAGAAGCAGTTCCTATGAAAAATTAGCACAGAAATCTGGAAATATTGACAAAATCTTATACAAATAATGCCTTTTAGTATGGGAATAAAAGACAATCTTCCTCACATATACACAGATGTACAAAAAACATATCCTCTAGGATATCATACTTCCTCAGAACACCAGGTCTTTTATAGAAGGAGCTAAAAAATGGCAGAAGTGCCAACTAGAAAGAAGAGTTCTCCCTAGTTTTAAAACTGGAACGAAACAACTCTCAACATTTGCAAAACATTCCTTTATTATTAGAAATAAATTATTTGTATAAAAAATTGCATGCATCAATCATTGCATTTATTTTTAGCACAACCCAGGGCTTCAATCCAGTCAGCCATTACAAGAAACAGATTCATTGTCTTATACAAGTTGAACAATGTGGGACAGGAACAGGAGTTCTCACAATCACAGAAAAATACTTACAAGAATAACATCAGACATGGTTTATTTCAACAGCATTTTTTTTTCACAAGCTAACATTAGTTTTCCTTTTGTGATTTTTTTTTTAACTGCTCATGAGGAAGCAATATTTTAGCTTGACACTCATTGGTTGTATTGTATAAAACGGGTTTTGTCACTCCCCGTTTATTGATACTTTTGGTTCATGGCTAATTTTTGTTCCTTACAAGATTGACTATTGATTTGATTGATTGTAGTCTACGGAGATCTTCAGGAGTGAGTTTTTGCAGTCTCATGTTCATTGCTTAAGATCACATACTACGTTTCTTCGGACGGTATCATTTCCCTGTTTCAGATTGAATGATTGCTGTAGCTGATATATGTTGTCTTGGTAGAGGAAGCTGTTAAGATAAATTAGTACAAATTAATAGTGTATAATAATAAATTATTTGGGTAATATGATTTTAAAATTCACATCCTGTAATGGTTGCTTTTTGATATTCAGCTTTTATAATGTTACTCATTATTATTAAACCATGTACACTGATGTGCAGTTTAACATTTCAAGTTAGTGGCAGGTCACATATATGAAGGTGATCCCATGAGATTATAATGTAGCTGAAAATTCCTATTGCCCAGTGAGGTTACAGCCATCATAAAGCAACATATTATTCATGTGTGTGTAGTTTGTGGTGCAAACAAACCTACCGCAATGTCAGTCATATAAATGTATAGCACATGCATTTATATAGTGTGTCTAATACTTGATATGATAACAAAAGACTGTTACTGGTTTATGTATTTACTATATTTTAACTTATTATTTTAGAGTGTATTCCTTCTGTGTGTGTGTGTGTGTGTGTGTGTGAGAGAGTGTGTGTGTGTGTACTTTACAGTAGACTGTACTAGATCCTCACATTCACCATTCACTCATTGATTCACACTGAACAACTTCCAGTCCTACAAGGTCCATTTATGGCAAGCACTCTCTACAGGTATATCATTTTTTATCTTTGATACTCTCATTTTACTATATCTTTTACTGCACATTTTCTATGTTTTTAGATATGTTTGGATACACAAATAATTACCCTTGTGTTACAATTGCCTGTCAGTACAGTGACATGCTGTACAGGTTTGTATCTCTGTAGCAATAAGCTATACCACATAGCCTAGTGTGTAGTAGGTTATGCCCTCTAGGTTTGTATAAGTATAGTCCATGATGTTTGCACAAGGACATATTTCTCAGAGCATATCCTTATAATTAAGCTATGCATGACTACAGTAAAAATTTTAAAGTGGTAGAAATAAAAGAATACCCAGCAATTTTAATCTGTAAAAACAAGTTGTCTTGTTTATAGTATATAGCTATTGGTCAGAAAATTAAAATTTAAAAGTGCTAATCTTTAATAAATCTAGGCAAAATTCTATTTCAATGTGTATTTTGGCTAACATTTACATATATGTTAAATGTAAGAACAGATAAATCATCTGTTCCATAAAATGCAAAAAATATTTTTTACCTAAGATCTCAATTATTTGAATATGTTATAATGACCAAAAAAGGTGTAAGGAATTGTAATTACATACGTATAAATTAATATATCTTCTATTTAAAAATAAACAATAATTTTAGACTGTTGAAGTGAATGTGGTAAAATAACAAATACATTAAATATCTGTAAGTATTAAAGTAAATATGTGAATTGCCAGTGCATATTTATGGTTTGTTTTGGTTTCATGCAAAGGATGCAAATGGAGATGTTTAGCAAATAAATAGAGACTCTAAGAAAGAAATGAGTACTTAATTTCTCTTTTACCAACTTACTGTGAAGTAAAACTCATTATTGTAAGACTATTAGAGAGATATTCATACAAAATATTCTATGTCAAATTGATATTCATGCTTGAATTATATAGATTTATATGTAACGAATATAAATCTAAATCCAAGTAATTCCTTTGGATTTTGTTAAAGATGTAAAGAAATAAATCTCTGTCCTAAAATTCAAATGTGATGTCCTATTTTTCAGTATAATTCTAGAATGAATAATCATAAGAAAAAAGATATTTAAAAAAGCAAAACATCCATGTGTTCCAATACATAAGTCCAATTCAGAATGAAACAGATTTTTAGAGAATAATTTATTTATTGCAGACATTGAATAAGACTATAAATTACAAAGCTCCTCCTCTGAAATAATTGATAATTAGGCTCATGCCATCTTAGTGTGCTACACTGCTGATTGACCAGACAAGTTCTTACCAGAGAGAACAAGTCCATACAACGTTCACAATCTAAATTAACCAAATTAATACAGATAGCCCAAAGAAGTACTAATAATAGATGCTTTTATTATTTTTTATTTCACCAAGTATTATGAAAAATAGATAAAAAAAGAGGTGATATATCTGCTTAACTTGCTCACCTCTCTAGGTTATTATTGTGGCACAGTGGAGAGAAGTAAACTTTAGACCTGGTTTTAAATTACATTCTATTCCCTGCAAAATAAGTATTAAAAAAAAAAAAAAGTCACTGAACCAAGCCACTGGGCCTCAGTTTCATGACTTACTCAAAATCCACAATACTGGGTTATTCTGGGGAGACTGAGGGGAGGGGAAACCACTATAGTCTGAAAGAACCAATATGAAGTCTACTTTTTTCTTATTCTTTCTAAAAGGTAAGGTATTTGTTATGCTTGGTTTGCTGTGAAGTGAAAGAGTGATTTTTTTATGACTGGTAACTTTTACTCTTTAATTTACATAAATTATGTGCTTATAAATTTCCTCTAAGAAAATAAATTTAGTTTCAGCTTTGTTTTTGAAGATTTTCATATAATCCTTGTAGACAAGATGGAGAAAAACTGTCCTAAAAGTCCTAAAAATGACTGAGTGGTTTATCCAACTTCCTGCACTGTTCAATATTGTCAACAAAAACTAAAATTGTAGGAAATAGTTATCAAATCTGTATATAGCTAGAAAAAAATTATGGTTGAAATCAAGAAGAACAAGAGCCAAATTACCTTGAACTAGATGCTCATTCAACAGATAGTGAATATCAGACCATCTTCAAGGATTTTTCCAACTTTGAGAGTCTACAGTTAATTAAACATTTATACTTTATTTTTTGAACTTTTATAAGTACTCCCCAAGGAAAAAGTGGTAGAATTCTATTGGGAATTAAGGATATAATTCACAGAAGAAGGCTAATGATCATTTTTCTACTTGTTAGAAAAGGAAATGAAAGTTTCTGGAAACAGATAATTTAGTCAATATGAAAGAAATCATAAGAGACAAACTTTATGAGGAGCAGATATCTCACAAGAATATGTATCCCAGATGTATTACAGAGCAAAATGGATTTGCAGTATGCAGATGAGCTCATAGGATCTTTTTTTTCCCACAATGGGAATGAATATACTTATGTGAAAATCACTTTTTGAGTACACCAATGGTGAATTTTCTATTGTATACCACACTGTATTCATAAGCTAGAGAAAACAAATGTACCTCCAGCAACAGCTGTTTTCATAAGTTATTCATGAACATAGCTTAATACTATGTACAGCATTGTTAATTGGGTACAGTTGGCAAAATTCATATATACCAACTTTGTTTCTAATTCCCCTCTCATCTCGTTATAAAACATGTGACCATTTTTTAAAATGTAAATTGTAGTCTGCAAATTCAGCAATTAACATGTATTCATTGTTTTCCCATCCAACTTCACATGACTCATATTAATTCTGTGTAGGTTTTGAGCCTTTAAAATCTCAAGCATGTGACTACAATTTCTGGCATTAGCAAATCACATTTAAGATGAAATTTCTTTTTTTTTTTTACTTAATTTAATTTTTTTTTTTTTTTTTGAGTTGGAGTTTCACTCTGTCGCCCAGACTGGAGTGCAGTGGCTGCTCCCAGCCACCACAGCCTCGACCTGCTGGGCTGCGGCGATCCTTCCGCCTCAGCCTTCTGAGTAGCTGGAATTACAGGCACGCGCTACCACACCCGGCTAATTTTTTGATTTATTGTAAAGATGAGGTCTCGCCTGCCCAGGCAGGTCTCGAATCCGCGGGCTCAGGCAATCCACTCACCTCAGCTTCCCAAATGCGCGGTATTACAGGCTGAGCCACTGACCCCGGCTTAAGATGAAATTTCTAAATATAAGGACTTGTAGAGATCCATGGCATGAAAGAACAGCATTACATATATATCATAAATATATAACTGATGATAAAAATCCCAACAATGGACTAGTAATTATTAAAATAATTATTAAAATCCTCCTCTTTAAAAAAGAAAGAGGGATGCTGAAACAATAGTTTTGAATTTCAAGTCTTCTCTTTTCTATTAACCAGTGACCAATCTACATTTCCAAGGCAGCAATGATACTTTTACCCTTACATGGTGATTTATAGTTTACAAAACTCTTTTTGCATGTCATTGTCGTGTCATTGTAGTAGAGGTGATTTATCCAAAGCCTTGGAAGCAGAAAGCATGGAGAATGCAGCAACACATACACTGTTTCAGAAGACTAACCTGCCCTGGATTTATTGAGAATCTACCTATTTTGAGAGGAGGTATTTTAAATCTGAGGAGGTGTAGGAGGAAAAGATTGCATTTAAGGGATTAGTTATATTAATACTTTTAGATGGTTTGTGATTTTAGGAGAATTTGACTAGTTTAAACCACTGGTACATAGAGTAAAGGAAACAGGGACACGGGAGCCCATGATACCTGTGCCAGGTTTCTCACTTGGATTCCTATATACTGAACTGCAAATTTCATTTCAAAAGCACACAAATCTACCCCTTCCTTGTACAATGGTCATGTGAGTGAATAGAGGTTGACAATGGTGACCCGAGGTGGCGCTGTAAAAAGATGTGTGAAGATTCCATACAGTTTATCTCCTGAATATATACATTGAAATCACTTTATTTGGACCCAATTTATTCAAACCTAAACTACTCCTGTAAAAGTTGAATGCACTAAAATTTCCAAAGTGCAATTAAACCTTTTATCAGGCAGTAGTTGACATTATCTTGATTCACCTTTTTGACATTCCTTCACCATTGAGAAGTTAGCATCTGACTTCTCCAGAAGACTATAGGCTTACCCTCCAAATAAGTCTCCTGTTTGTAATCTTTCATTCTTATTTAAGTGAAAATAGAGAATGCATGCATATTATATAATTTGCATTTCAATATTAACAGAAAATAACAGAAGGAAAACAGTATATGTATGAGATATGTTTCAATAATAGATTAATTCTTATCAATACTGACAATTTTCCTTTTTAGGGAATCTATTTATTCTTTAAAGTGGTGAAAGTCTACTAATATTTTCCTTATCATTTTCCGAAAGTGCATCTGGGATGACTGGTCTTGATTTCACGATAAATTTGTTGTTTGATTTGACAATATTTTATAAAGTTTTCTGGATTGCTACTACAAAACAGGTACAACAATAGGCTTTGGTGAGTCATACTGAGAAGTGCCAGTGTTCAAAGTGTATCACTGGCCAACAGCAATTTATTGGCATCCTACAATAGGTTTTAACTTCCAACACTGATGCTTCCAAGGTAGAAAACACAGATAAAATTCTGTCCTCAAATCACAAGCATTTTACTGTGATGCCTTTATAGTACATCTTTTTCTAAGAGCCAAAATAGGTTTATTAGTAGTAAATTGGTTACTTCTAATCAAAGATGATTACAATGATTTGTTAATAAAACCCATCCTTATCATGCCTTCTCTTATAGTTTTCTCGTTTCATGTTTGCTGAAAGGTGAATAAGTGGGGAGTGTTTATGAAATTCTTATAAGGGTAATTTCTCTAGAAGTGACTAAATTTTGTCTTAGTGACCTGAAGGTAGTCTTTTTAGAGCCAATCTGGTCAATAATCCCAGGTAGTCTGGTGGTAATTGAAGCCAATTAACTTTAATTGAGCAATGTTAATCATCTAAAAACAGTTCTGTGTATGGGACATTGGAGTAGACAATGGTCATCTTGAGATATTGATACCAAAGGTTTGTAGATCGAGTGAAGACTAAGAATTGCTATGATAATTAACCAAATAAAATAAATTATTGTTTTTTCTTATATTTAGTGTCCAAAGCATGGAGAGTAGAGGATACAGTCTACTGGATGAATGTGAGAGGAAGAGACATTTTTGTATAGCATTTGAACCTATGCTGTTTGGACCGTAGTATAAGTTATTCAATAATAATCTTAATTATTGAATACCTATGTTGTATTCCCAGAAGACTGAAAGCCACTCTAACAGCAAGGGCTTTAGCTTTTATTTCTTTTTGATTCTTCTGTAGAACTTAGTCATGTAAAAGCTGTAATTTTTACGATCCTAGCGTTCTCGTATTTTACCATACAAATCTTCAATCTATTTGCTATTCTTCCATAGATAATAATACCAACTTTAATAGATCAGTTAAACTCTACTGGGTGAGTTCAGGCGTCAATGTATTGTTATCACGTGCTGCTTCTGGGGTGAGAAAAAAGGAAAATAGATCAGGAAAAGAACAATGGGGTGGTGGTTGTAGAAAAGAACCTATTTTCATGGTCATGAGGCTTTTAGAGAAGAGCTCTAATTATTTTAATATATCCAAGGAGGGAAGTCAAAGAAAGTCCTTGGGAAGCCCAAGGGAAGGGGATCACTTGAAAGAATCAAGTAGTAACTGTGACTTAACTAAATATTTTGGCTCACTGGTTTTCTCATTTCCCTAAAGAAACAAATAACATATTTATTTGTGTATATTTCATAAATATTATTAAGCTATTAATGCTATAAAAAGCAGTCAATATTGAACCAACAAAAACTGTGAAATAGTTCCTAAGTGCTAAAAAATAATTGTATGAATGGAAGATGCTTCCAAACCCCAAGCTCTGCAATGCCTCAAAAGAAAGACCTGAATGCCATGCTTTGCCAAAGAGATTTTGTGTGCATATTTGTGCTCTGTGGAACAGCCAATCATCTGGAAATTATTTGGTTCTAACCAAATTGTTCTAACTGTGTGATGACCTTATGGTATGTGGCTACTGCCATGCACCTGGAAACATGTAGCACAATCCCCAAGACTAGGAGAAGAATGTTCAACGTACATCTATTAGGTAGTGCTCCCGCTCTTGACCATCGGAAAGTCTACAGATGACTTACTGTTGGTTTCAAGACTCTCACAGAGTTCACTTTTCACCTCGCCATTTGGTCTGTCATTTCCTTTTTGGATCAGTTTGCTTTGCATGGTAGCAGCTGTCACCACAGCCTTGAAGCTCCTCTTGCGTTTTTGAACGTTCTGCTCTGGATGAAAAATTATAATATAAACTTTGGGCATATAGAGCATGCCCAGAGACACTGAAGCACTTAAACTCATGGAGACAGTAAGTGTTGTTGTCTGGATGTACATCTGAGGGGAGAGAAAAAAAAAAACACAAGAATCAGTATTGGTAAGCCTGACTAGTAGAAGATAAGTAAAAAACACTATTTTCTAAAATTATTTGGCTTCTCTGCTAAAGGAGCATTTGAAGGCACTTATTGAAATTGCCCTTAATTATAGTCAAGTATTCCTGTATCCCAACCTACAAGTGTAGATGAATAAGGTTTCATTTTTATGAAAACCAATTCCTTAAAACAAAAGGCAAACAAACAACTAAGCTGGTGAAACTTGGTTTCCTTTTTTAGATTATAAATAGACATACATAAGGAAGGGGACAAAAACAGTCTGGCAAAACACTAACATTTTATGACACAGACCTTTTTCAGAAGGTACCAGTGGGTCAAGTGTTATTCTTCTAGCAATAAGCTTAACCCTGAAAGTAAATTATAGGTTGTGGAAATAGAGTGGGAGTGAAACATTCCAGAACAGCACTATTGCACACTATTGTTTGACTAATGCTAGTGTTCACATCTTCACATCATTACACAATTCCAACAACCAAACCTGATAAATTGCAAGCTTGCCACAAGGGCTTGATTATTTTTAACAGTCCCTCTAAGAACACTTTCAGAGGATTCTCAATGATCACATCACATCAAAATAAAGGTACATGTTTTTTATAAACCATGGAAGACCTCTTCCCTCTAAGAGTCAGATATATACCCTGGGATGAGGTCCTGGCCTCTACATTTTGACAATGTTCCCCCTTTGTTCATTCCTTACCCTTTTCCCTCTGAAATAGGCTGCTCTGGTACTTACAGAGGGAGGTCTCTCTGAAAGATTTTGAAGATTTTTTTTTAATTTCTACAACCTAGAGGTTAAGAATTTGAAAAAAAAAAACCCTAAAATCACTGCTTTGACTTTTTTGTTATTGTATGAAAGCAGAAATGACAGTATTTTAATCTTTAAAAGCTAAAACTAAAACCTTTGGTCTGCTTCCATTTTTCATGTCTTGAGCTCAAAATATAATTTTCTCAAACAACTTGGGACACTGAGGCCACAGAGAAAATCACATCTTGACTATGAAGATTTTCTATCTATGAAAATCTTTTTCTATCTATGATCCTCATTAATAGATCTGCTCACTCTAATAATACTTCCAAAAATGATCCTGATTACTGTTTTATAATATAATATGTCTTAATCTGTTAGTCTTGCTAAAATGTATCATACTAGTTAGATTTCATCTGGCAAGCCTCAAAAGCCAAACTAATTGTATTCTTTAAAATAAAAGATCAAAACCATTCACCCTCAAGGGTAAATAGCTGAATCAGCATTTGCTTTTTCCTAGAGGAGACAGTTTCTCCTAGCAGATGGCAAAGCCTTGAGGTAAAGAACCGTCCAAACCATGAGGAGAATTTAAGGCACACGTAATAAAAAGACTGTTTTTGTCTGTGAAACCATACCATGCAGATTGCTGAGTTTACTGTTCATCATCTACCTCCAAGGCTGTTCTTGCATAAGATACCATTGTGAGTATAAAATATTCATCCACAAGGTTTACTACAAGTTTACAAAATGTACTACAATTAAGGAGATCCCAATAAAATGTGAATATGCACCCTCAGACCTCAAAAATCTTCCTAAGTGTTGTCATCTACTTTTAAGCAACCTCTCAATACAAGCATTCCTAAGTTTCTCATGTGTTGGTTAATCTTCTTTGAATTCCAACTTATTTTCAAGCTTGTACTGCTGCAAGAACCTACACAGAAAATGAACTGTAGGGAGAGGACACAAAGATAAGGAAAGAATATGGCAAATTGAAAATCATATATGTAAATATCCAAAGCCACTCAAATAAGTACTATTAATTTTGTTCCACTCAAACCTTGCCAAGTCCGTTTAGCCTAAAAACAAACAAGCAAACAAACAAAACAAAACAAAAAAATCAAACCTCCAGAGATCAAACAACCCTGAAATGATGGCAGCACACACAATGATTAGTTGGATTTTCTTTATATCTTAATCTGTTAGTCTTGCTAAAATGTATAGTACAAATAGTACAAAAATACCTTTGTGTTTTTAAAATCTTATACATTTCCTCTACTACCAAAGATATAAATTATACTTTTCTTCTCTTATTCAGAATAATTTCTGTAACATACATTACTTTTTTTTTTTTTTGAGTTGGAGTCTCACTCTGTCGCCCAGACTGGAGTGTAGTGATCG